ACAACACAGTTCAACAACTTACACACTGCCTTAATGATGTTAAGACATGGGTCTCTCTTAACTTCCTTAGTCTAAATGAGAACAAGACTGAAGTTATGATGTTTGGACCAAGTTGCCGTCCCTCTCCCAGCATAGATCTTGGCTCACTGTCATTTTATCTCAAGGACTGTGTCACCAATCTGGGGGTGAAGTTTGAGTCTGATTTTAAATTTGAAAAACAGATCAGCAGTGTTGTTCAGAAAAGTTTTTATCAGCTCCGCCAAATAGCAAAAGTGAAACCAATCCTAGCAAGACCTGACTTGGAGAAATTAATCCATGCTTTTATCACAGCTCGTCTTGATTACTGTAATGCGCTGTATGCAGGCATTAGCCAGACGTCTCTTGCTCGTCTGCAGCTTGTGCAGAACTCTGCTGCTCGCCTGTTAACTCAGGCTCGTAGGCGCGAGCATATTACTCCCATCCTGGCGTCCCTTCATTGGCTCCCTGTGCACTACAGAATTAACTTTAAGCTTTTGCTGTTTGTTTTTAAATGTCTGAACAACCTTGCCCCACCATATCTGTCTGAGCTGCTTCAGCCTTACTGTCCACCCCGATCCCTACGATCAGCTGATCAGCTGCTGCTGACAGTCCCTAAAACTATGCTGAAGCTCAGAGGTGACAGAGCGTTTGCTGTTGTTGCTCCCAGGTTGTGGAACACTTTACCCTTGAGTGTCAGACAGGCCTCCTCTCTTCCTGTTTTTAAATCTCTTTTAAAGACGCACTTTTATTCTTTGGCTTTCAACACATGATCTTATCTTTTATGGCTTTTTAATACACCTGCTGTGAAACTGGTATGTGAATGGTTTTTATGTTTCTTTGTGTATGCTTTGTATGTTTTTATTGTTTTGTTTGTTTTTATTGTTTTATTGTACAGCACTTTGGCTACCCTTGTGGTTTTTAAAATGTGCTATGTAAATAAAGTTGATTGATTGATTGATTGATTGATTGATTGATCTGAGCGACAGGAGTTTCTGTGTTAATTTTGCTAACACTCTTATCTACTTCAGTGCCTCTTTCCTGCGGGGTCCCACAAGGCTCCATTCTTGGACCCCTTCTGTTTTCTTTGTATCTCCTCCCCTTAGGGTCTATCCTGAGGAAACATGGTCTTTCATTTCATTGTTATGCTGATAACTCTCAGATTTATCACCTAACAGTTAGTCCTAACCTATAACACCTAACAGTTCCTCCTCCATTCGCTCTTTGTTAAAAAGTCTTGATGACGTCAAGACTTGGATGGCTGCAAACTTTTTGAGTTTTAATGATCAGAAGACTGAGGTCATTATGTTTAACCCTAGCTCTGCCACTGTCACTGATCCTGCAAACCTGGACTCCCTTCAGCCATATCTAAAACAGTCTGTTACCAGTCTCGGGATAGTTTTGGACTCGGACTTTAAGGTTAATAAGCAGATAAATTCTGTTCTTCAAAAAAGCTTCTTTCAGCTAAGGCAGATAGCAAAGCTTAAGTCCGTTCTGTCCAGATCCGACCTTGAAAAATTAGTCCATGCATTTATTACAACCCGGCTGGACTACTGTAACTCGCTTTTTGCTGGGGTCAGTCAGGTCTCTCTCTCACGTCTCCAGCTTGTCCAAAATGCTGCAGCTCGGCTACTAACAGGAACTTGCAGGTTTGAGCACATTACTCCGGTTCTGTCCTCTCTTCACTGGCTTCCTGTGCGTGTCAGAGTTGATTTAAGATTCTTCTGCTGACATTTAAGTGTGTTAATGGCCTTGCACCCTCATACCTCTCCAACCTCCTTCATCCTTATGCTCCTTCTCGGGCCTTGAGATCATCAGACCAGCTGCTTTTGGCCGTACCAAAAACCAGCTGAAGCTCAGAGGAGATCGAGCGTTTTCAGTCATGGGTCCTAAACTCTGGAATAATCTGCCCATCAACATTCGACAGGCCACCTCAGTCTCTATTTTTAAATCTCTCCTCAAAACACATCTGTACTCATTAGCATTTAACACAGTGTGATCTCATTTGGTATTTCATTGTTGATGATTGTGTTCATCCATTTTGCTTTTACTCCCTGACATTTAACGCAGGGTGATTTGATTTAGTATTTCATTGTTTCTCATTATATTTAATGTTTTTATGCTTTTATTCATGTTGCTGTAATATGTTGTTATTAATATTTGATGCTGTGATCTTTTTTGGTAAGCACTTTGATAACAGTTACTGTTTTAAATGTGCTATATAAATAAATGTGACTTGACTAGCAGCTTATAGACAAGTGCAGTCTACATACAGGGCTTAATTTGTAAGCTGATTGATGCCAGAACAGCAGGCATGCTGGTGGTAGTGGGGTGGTGGGGGGGGGTGTCCATGGGTCCTCTCACAGAAAATTTTGAATAAGAGATGCCATTTCCTGCATTTTGGTGTATTTTAACAGGTTGTTATACATCATGGGGGGAGTGGTGGCGCAGAGGTTAGAGAGGTGGGCCTGTGATCCAAAGATCGCCGGTTCACGCCCCAGCCCCGACAACACCAAAATTGTGGGTGCGGTAGGTGAAGCACCCACACTTGCCCCCATCCTCATTCGCCCCACTCTGGGCCCATGAGCAAGGCCCTTAACCCCCCATCTGCTCCCTAAACAGGTCTCTCTTGAAAATGAGTTCTAGTGGCTCATTGAGACTATTTGGATAAATAAAGGGTAAATAAAAATCAACATTTACCTACATTTGTAGACATTTAATAAAATTTCTGTTTTGGAGATAAACAGCAGGTTGTGTGTGAATAAGAGCAGCTCTGATTCTGTCAGGTGTCCTAACCCCTTGCTCCCTCCCCTCACTTCACGGTTCTGAGCTGAACTCTTCTCCGCTCTCGCTCCAGTCTTGTGGCACCGTTTTTGAAGCACCTGAGCAGGCTTCAGTTCTCTGTTGTCCAAGGACAATCAATCCATCCATCCATCTATCCATCCATCCATCCATCCATCCATTTTTATTAAAGTAAACTGGACTGTCTCTTTGACATTTTGATCACTGTTGTTATTTTGACAAATTAGTGCTGTTGTTTTGAAACATGACGTTTAACGTGAATAACACATTTCTCTCGTTGTATTTTTTATTTATTTTTTATAGTGAGCTTTTTTAATTTATTATGTTTGAAATGTAGCAGGAGTTCAGACACCTGCTGATGTTGTGCGCGTTAGAGCTGTCTGGAGACGTTTCTGTGCATAACGTGCACTGTCTGCAGGGAATTTATTTATTCTGTTGAATAAATGATTGTTTCTGTTTCGAGGGTCTGAGAGGAGGTGTTTTTCAGTGCGCGGCCGCTGAGGGACAATATTTGGAGAGAAGGAGGAGACAAGGACTCTGCGCAGAATCTCTGTGCGTAAGACCATCTGTCCCTCCATCCTCACCTTAGCTGGTTCACTGCGCGTGCTGCGGCTGGAACATCCACAGACTGGGTCCACCGGGCAACGTCTCCTCTCGTTGTATTTTTTAATAAATAATCAAAATAAAAATGTGCGATCTTCCGGCAGGATCCGGCTCAAATTAACCTCTGTCTATACATGTACAACATTTTTAATTTAGTGAGCACAGCTGATCTTTGGGTGCGCTCTATAGTCTAGAAAAGATGGTATGTTTATGGCAAATTAGGTCAATATTCATAACATTTTGGATATTTTCCCATTTAATTATTCATCTAATTTATTAATCAACCAAATATTAAGAGGATTTTAAGTGACAAAATTATATAAAATATGAACTTAAAAAATAATAAACAGGAAGGAGGTGATTTTATTGGGTCCTGCAATACAGTGAAAGTGCACAATAATGGTGATTTTATTTATTGGTGGTAATAATCCTGATTATCTTTTTTTATCTCCATAATAGAAGACCTGTACTGACTCTTGTCCTCCTCCATCTCTCTCTGTCCTCACTCCATCTATCTCCATGTCCTCTCTAACTGCATCCATATGTCTCCTCTTTGCCTTTTTCCTGCAGCTGCATTTCTAGCATCCTTCTACCAATGTACCCACTGTCCCTCCTCTGGACATGTCCAAACCACTGTCCCTCCTCTGGACATGTCCAAACCACTGTCCCTCCTCTGGACATGTCCAAACCATCTCAGTGTGTCCTCTCTAACTTTATCTCCCAGTTGTTCAACCTGTGCTGTACCTCTGATGATCTCATTCCTCAGGTGGGGAGACTAGTCCACTATTTCGAAACACGAGTTCACTGGCAAAAAAATTACTTTTTGTGTGCTCATGCGTTCAAGAGGTACAGTTTTTGCTAGTGCAGACTGGGGGCTCTGAGGGTAAATGTTTGCGAAGCACTGTTCTAACTAACAATTGCCAACACCAGACATCTCCAAGCATGTTTCTGGAAAACAATCAGGAATTTCAGTGAGTTCAAATATCTGGAGCTCAATCCATCCATCCATCCATTTTCTTTACCCGCTTATTCCATTTTGGGTCACGGGGGTCGCTGGTGCCCATGTCCAGCAATCACTGTGAGAGGGGCGGAGGACACCCTGGACAGGTCGCAAGTCCATCACAGGGACACATAGAGACAAACGAGACAAACAACCATTCACACTTTCACTCACACCTAGGGACAATTTAGAGTCACCAATCAGCCTAACATGCATGTTTTTGGTCTGTGGGAGGAAACTGGAGCACCCGGAGAAAACCCACGCATGCACGGAGAGAACATGCAAACTCCACCCAGAAAGGCCCCTGGACCGGGGTTTGAACCAAGGACCTGCTCGCTGAGAGGCAGCAGCTCTACCTGTTGCGCCACCGTGCTGCCCCAGAGCTCAATCCAAGAAAAAAAAAAAAAAAAAAGAGTCATTTTGAGTGAGAAAATGAAAAACTAGATGATTGACTTCAGGGTTTCTAAACTGACTTATAAGGCAGACAGACAGACCAAGAAAGAGACAGACAGGGACATAGATACAGACATACCGACCGACCGACAGAGACAGACAGAAGTCACCTCTGAAGTCTTTTTTTTCTGAGTCAGTGGTGTCGTCATGCTTGGTGTCTTCTTGATCCTTCCCAGCAGACAAATGACTCACGCCAGCCTGAGACAGCAGGTTCTTCAGCTGGCTGCAGAGCAGGTCCAACAGGGACTGGACCACTTTGGGACTTAGCTTGTCTGCATACGTCCTATAAAAAAGAAAGATGTTAGTTTTATCCATTCTGGTTCAGCTTATCAAAATGTTCTGGTTGTTGTGTTACCCAGTGCTGATAGCCAGGATCTGTAGCAGGCGGGTGGAGGCCACCTTTAGGGCGGTGCTCAGCTGGGAAACTCCAGGTTTTTGCAGCAGCTGGAGAGGCTGACCCAGCATGGTCTCTGTGCCACACAGCTGAGACAGAACATTAAGAAGCCCGCTGGAGATGGCCAGGGAGACATCTGCAGGTTGATACCGAACGCTCAATGCAAACACTGTCACCAGGAGGAGACGCTGCTGAGCTTCTGTAAAAGTACCACAAACAACAATGATTAAAAAAACTCAAGTGTGTTTCAGTCAACATGACTGGAATCATTAAAAAACGTTTCATTAACTTATATAATTTTTTAAAGGTTCTTCTCATCAACACTGTGAATAATTGTATGCAAAATTCATCAATATGACATTAGAGTCTTCTAATAAAACCCAATTTAATTGTATTTTATATTTATGATTTTTGGAGAAATAGTGAGACATTGTTCTCCATCACCCTCTGCAGCAGGACCTTATCAAACAAAGCTGTTTTTATTTTTCTTTTCTTTTAAGAAATATGCTTTAACTACTGGTAACCCAAAATTTCCATCTTTATTTAATCAAGAAAAATCCCATTTACCGGTAGATCACAAACCTTTTTTGCAAGAGGGGCCTGGGCCTGAACTCATCCTACAATAAACCTACATTCAAGAAATTGTGCTTAGCTGTAATACCAAGCTGGTTATCAGGATTAAAGGTTTCTGTAGAAGTAACGCCCGGTAGTCTTTTCCTGCAGCTGCATTTCTAACATCCTTCTACCAATAATCACAATGTCCCTCTTCTGGACATGTCCAAACCACTGTCCATCCTCTGGCTGCCACATTGTGAAGATTGCAGGTGATGCAATGGTGGTGGGATGCATCGCAGACAGTGATGGGTCCGGGAGGTGGAACACCTGGAGAGCTGGTGCAGAGAGAATAACCTTCACATCAATGTGAAGAAGACAAAGGAGATGATTGTGGACTTCAGAAGGAACAAAAACGTCTACACCCCCCTGAACATAAGAGGATCTGTGGTGGAAGTGGTCTCCAGCTACAAGTACTTGGGTGTACACATGAATGACAACCTCAGCTGGAGACCACTTCCACCGCAGATCCTCTTATGTTCAGGGGGGTGTAGGTGTTTTTGTTCCTTCTGAAGTCCACAATCATCTCCTTTGTCTTCTTCACATTGATGTGAAGGTTATTCTCTTTGCACCAGCTCTCCAGGTGTTCCACCTCCTGCCTGTAGCTGGACTCATCATTGTTTGTGATGCATCCCACCACCGCTGTATCATCTGCAAACTTTACAATGTGACAGCCTGGATGGGTAGCTGCACAATCATACGTGAGCAGAGTAAACAGGAGG